GACTGTTGCAATGCTTGTTCTTCAATATCTTCGGACATGTGTTCCATACGTCTACTAACGGTGTTGTCGGATATTGGAATTTTTAATACTTCTTTTTCAGTTTCTTCGCCAAAACGAGCTTTTACGATTTCACGGCAAGCAGGTAAAATAAGTTTTTCGGTTTCGTTTGTTTAGCTACGAGCTCTGCTACTAGATAACTGGCTTGTTGAGTTTTATCAGATACGGTCGCTATTTCTGTCATTTTTTTTCGGATTGTCGTGTTTCTGATTTCGGCAAACGTTGAAAATATGAAGCGTTTTCATCAGCCAAATCAGAATGCTTGGTGGAAAAATGGCGTTTTGGTTTACTCGGAACCATCGGTCCGTTCGATAGTTTATCGCCGCGTACAAGACGCCGCGGACGTGGGTGGTCTACATTTCCGGGCCAAGAAAATCGCACGTTTAAACAACAGTCTTCGTGATACTGACGTCTTATATTTAATGTGATTGTCTCCTTTGGTTTTACGCTCACCGGAGCGCCGTCGGCCGAACGAATATATGAATGCGTCCATTATAGAATAGAAAAAAAAAACAAAAAAAAATTACGTATTATTATTTAAAATGTACCGCGCAGGACAAAAGTCATTGAAAACGCGATATTCCGCGACGCGGGCGCAAAACGATCGGGACGGCTGCGACGGGCGAACGAATAATAACGAACGCTGCCATGGTAATTACGCGTAGCGGTCCGCGGTTAGAGTCCGTCTTTATATTTGTCAGCGTAATCGGTTTTCGCCGAACGTCGATAATAATACTGGCGAACACGAAATTCGCTCTGTTAACAGATTTACCTTGTCGCGGCGCACCGGTTGAAAACCACCGATTCGGATTTAACGGCCTGTGTAACGTGAACGTTAACACGACAATTATTGGTCCGGCTGGCGGTACCGCGACGGTTTTAATCAAACGAAAAACGCGGATTCGTTGTGTCCAAATGCTAACGGCCTTTCGAAAAAATAACTTTGGAGATTGGTTTTTACGGCAGTTGCTTCATTAGAATCGAATCCGAACAAAACGAAATATATATTTTTGTACAGTATTTCCGAACTAAATCTGTGTCATGCAATACGCGTTCACTGAACGAAATGTAATGGAAACCGTGATAACTGCAGTGTAATATCAGAACAGGTTAGCTTTATCGAATACTTAGTCACGGCCATTGACAGGGAACTAAAATGGGATCCTCGTATAAATAATTTAACGATTCCTGTAAGAGGTTTTTTTTTTTTTTTTTATACATTTCACGATACCGGGTTCGTTTTTAATGTTTACATAGACCGCTTACTGTTTGTATAGCTTTGTACAGCTCATTATGGCTCGTTATGGCGCATTTGCATCCAGGGTCAAGCATATGTATCGACTAAAAAACACTATTCATAGGTTAATTAAATTGTACTCTGTGGTAAAATTGTTAAACTTAACGGAAATGCTTGAAAATTTAACAGGAGTTTCATTAAGTCTTATTTTGTGGTCGAAAAAAAAATATCGAGTTTAATGTAGTATTTTTTTTATAAAGGAATTTTAATATCAAATTTTGGCGACAATCGTTTGAGTAAAAAATTATGTGGAAAAATTTATTTAATTTTTAAATTTTTTTTTTTTAACATATGTATATTGCTGATTTAAGAACGACGGTGAAGTCAGAATTGAGTGGACCGATTGAGTTTCGAAATTATAGCTTTTTGAAGTTCTGATATTATGCGAATATTATATGTTATGTTAAATGACTCCATATTGTCTTCTTTACTGTATGCTTGTCGTAATCTAATGGCCGTAGTTACCTATTGTCCATCTAGGGGTCGCGGGTTCAAACCTGGATTTCGAAAAAAATTGTTTGCATTTATGTTTTCTCTTTTACCTAAACAGGGAAAAAATTGCATTTTAGATGTATTTTAGTCAAAAAATATCCCTCGGTTTGCCGTGCAAACTTTTCTACCAGAAATCTGATAAAATGAAAATTTATGGCTGAAAGTTTGTTCCCGAAACCTAGTAAATAGTAATGAAATGTTTTTGTTCTTTTTTTGAAACACACGTGTTTCGACTTGTTATAATATTATTACTTAATTTAAACTGCGATTTGACAACAGTGAATCTGAATACTATCAAGGGTACAATACCGAATGATAATTTCGAATCGGTCCCAATATAGAAACCACTTGAGATTAACCAGAAAGGCTCGGTGTGTCACGACCACGGCAATTTTCCGGCTGGAGGATAATTAGAAAGGTAATTTTGAAACTTAGTTCTTATAATGTCAGCGCGTTCAATACGTAAAACATCACGACATCGATGAACTGAAAAATTAGACTACTGACGTCATGACCTAAAGCTTCAAGTGTATCACAATTTACAACGATCTAATGTAGCAATAAGTCGAATTTATACGACTACGTTTTATTTCTAACAGTGGTATGCAAGCGGATTTTTCATTTTCAGAATCTGATGACGATAACGGCAAACTTACAGACATATCATCTGATTGATTTATAACTGTTGAATTATAATTTTAAATAGACGGATTAGCTAATTGAAATTTTTCGTGTGTTAGTTTTTAAATTTTCCTACTTTTACGTTAATTTTATTTATTTTATTTTTCCTGTATTACTACATGTCTATACCACCAGGCACCAAGACACTCAATTCGTCCGGGGAGACTCTGATTAATTAAAAACTGTTTGTCAATGGCTATTTTCATAATATTTAGAGCATTCGCATGTGCAATATCAAATAAATAATCAAGTTTATTGATAAATTCTGTTTCTTTTAGTTTAAACGTTTCACTTATTTTTGTGCGACTTTTTTTTGTAGATCACGGCATTCTTCATATAAAACTTAACAGGTTACTTTTACATTGTTGGACAGCTCGAATAGGAATTCGAGCCTGTCCCCAGGAAATGTTACACCCACGAACAGTCAATGCCGCACTCTCTCTCGTATTAAGTTTCACTGTTCTAAGATTATGAAAACAAAAAAATACTGACAGAACTTGCCTAATTGATGGGAGCTTTGTACCTGAATTTTATCCTCAATTCGTAAACTGTTCGATATTTTTAAATAAAACCAGTTAAAAGAAATTATACGAAAAACAAAACGCGATAACAGACGACATAATCCAATATATGCGACGCGCACGATAAAAAATGATATCATTACGATAAAATCAGTCGCAATCGTTTACCGTTTCCAATAACCATTTATTATATTTTATAAGTAATAAGATTAAATTTACCAGTACACAATAAACATATTAATACTATTATCGCACATTCGTACTTGTGATAAGTATTGTAGTTCTGTAACAATTATTTGCAATTATACACATTGATATTTTTGAGAAAACTTTACTTTTAACGCGAAGCTGCGGGTTTGTGACGTGACGTTCACGTTTCGTATAATGTGAATCGACCATGTTCACCAAAATCAAAATATCTTATAATTGATAATTGGAGATATCAAGAAGTATATTAAAATAATATTTAAAGAAAATTAAAATGTACTCAAAATACGTAATATTCGTTTACGAGCAATTTACAAAAATGGTAAACGTTCCTATAAATAATGAGTAGGTCAATATTAACATACTCAAATTTCAAATTAAAGTCACCACGGTTTAACCTTAACGGATCGTTCCGAAATTGTCTATAGTTCATTTTTTTATTCATTGTCACACATTTAGGAGGTTAGAGTGAAAACAAATTTAAATTTAAAAATAAGGGATACGTTAATCTATATTACATTATATTTGGAGTAAAATACAATTTGTAAATTGTTGTAATTTCTAGATTAATAATGACAAAAATATAAATGAAGAATTCGGTAAATAGTTAATTTTTTTCATAATTAAGCCCTCGTCATATTAATATTAAAAATACATCTTTTAATTATTATACCAGTAATTATTAAAATATTTCATACGTTACATTTTTTTTTCTCTAAGTTTATAAGGTACAGTTCATGTTTTTTTAAAGTTCCTGTATTGTTTAGAATAATATAAGTTTTAATATTTACTAAGTTAACTTATTTATATTGTATGAACAATTTTTCATAAGGTAAAATACAGAAAACAGGCGCCGAGTGTAGAAAACACTCTGTCTGTTGCAGCAGAGGCAGATGTTAAAGTAAAGGCAAACGTCAAAGAACCGTATGGAAATGATAGTGCATCGGTAAGTAAATATTAATCTATGCTTATTATCATCCTAGGGGTTCCGAGTTCAGGTCAGTGTGTCGAAAAACAACTTTTTGCATATTTTTTACTTAAACAAAGAAAACACTAATGCATTTTGGATGCACCTAGAGACCATGCAATCGCTATCTCGGACAATTTTAATCGCAAAATACCACTCGCTTTGTTGTGCAAATTTTTAGACTAGAAATCTTGCTCCAATGTTTCAAGTGTAGTTTATTTTCTGAAAGGAAATTTATCTACATGGTACTTTAAGGAGGTCATTTTTCGATTGTTCCTAGAGTTTTTTCAGCAAATGTGAAAAGTCGGGAAAAAACACGGGAAAACCGGAAAAATCGGTACAATGTTAAACAAATATTATTAAAGAATATGTATATAATTCCTATTTATTTATTTCACCATAATATGACATATATATTGTTGACAAAGCATCATCGTCAACTGAACTGCGCTCAGAATCGTTTTAGCAACGCTTTATCGTTGCTTACAGATATACGTTGAATTACCCATAACAGTGGTTGCACCCGTCTCCGTTGTCCTAGGACGTCTTTTTCATATTATAATTTATACCTATTTAAATAACTACAGCTTTTATTATTATTTATACATTTATGATTATTATTGGATACCTAGTAAATTGCCAGGAAGCAGAAACAATTCTTTATTAACACATTTATTTTACGAAATAAATAAATACAATGATAATGAAAATATTTTGTTTTTAATCACTTAAACTCTTCTTTTATTATGGTATACCAAGTTCAAATTCTGGAACTTCACGTAGTTTTTAGTACCCTAAACATTTTTATTGAAATTAGAATAGTGAATACTAAATGTATATTTTTTTCTTAAAAATTCTTGCAAATTACAACGATTGTATTGACACAGGTTTGAACGTCTGTGAAGTTGTCCCCTGGACTTTGTCCTATCGACTCCAGACCAATTCCAAAATTTAGCAACCTTTTGGTAACTAATTTTAACCGACAATAAACAATTTGCAACCAAAGAGTTTCCAAGAAATTTCAATTTTTAATTTTTAAATTAAATTAAATTGGAAAATGTGATGAAACACCATGCAATTATCGGACTAGATTTTTCTTTAAGATAAAAATTACTTTTGTCAAGTAAAATAAAAATCTTGCGAGTCAGTTGCAAATGATAAATTTATAATTAAATAAATAAATGCGTAGCCTGGAGTATTATGAAATGTGTATTGTACGACCGGTTTCGAATTAAAAATTCATCGTCAGACAAAATCACAAAGTCAAAAAGTAAAACGCGACCGAATATGAAAACAAAATTGTAGGAATACGTAGGAAAAAACATATACAAATTGGTCGTTTTAAGTAGAAATTATTTTTTTTTTATTCAATAGGAAAGATTATTTAAAGTGGGTTGTTATTAGATATAGGTATAGGTAAGAAATATAAATTATTTGTTATCTAAAACGTGTTGATACAAGATATTATTTTTAAAATCGGATTGAACATGATGTTATTGAAATTGTTTTCTTTATTTCATCGTGTATGGCGGTGTAATAAACACTTCTGAATCTGAATTGATGTAAATGTTATTTTGGGTAGGGTAGGTATTTAATATTTCCGAGTCCGTATTAACATCAACACGTATATCATGATTATTTTCAAAAACACGTTTAGTGGAATTCGAATTACTGGCAGTCTCTTTTGATTTCATTTCAGACATGCGTTCTTTGTGTCTTATTTTAAAATTTCTATTTGTCTTCACTATACACGATTAGGCAGCATAGGTAACACAGGTAACATAGTGAGGTGATAATAATAATAATAATAATAAAACAATCAACATTTCTTATAATATCAGTGTTATATAATATTTTCAATCAATGTCAAAATTAAAATTATACAATATGAGACTTAATCCAAATAATAGGGTTGTCAATTGATAACATTCTAAATAGGTACATATTTATATTTTGCATACATAATATGTGTGTGTGTGTGTGTACGTGTGTGTGTGTGTGTGTGTGTTCAAACAAATTGCTACTAATCATAACACAAAATATTACACCGGATGAAAAAAATAATAACCGTTACTAAAATTATTGCAAACTGAACGACCTTTTTATGTATTGTTACAGGTATAAATACGACGTCTACGCTAAAACGAGTCCGGATCTACGGGAACAACGAAAACATTTATACACGAAAAATTGGTCCATTTAAACATCCATAAATATCTAAAAATAAAATATTTTATACCCATAGTGTTTCGTTTGTTAATTTTCATTACATTTTCCAACCGCTTGATCGACGAACAATCTTTTACAATATTGTTTGTTTTTTGTTTTTGTTTTTTTTTTTTTTTGTTTTTTTTTTTACGTTTTTCTACATAACATTTATTATATTATCATCATGCTCGGTTATTATAGGAATCAATAGTAATAATAATAATAATAATTAATAATTATACATGTATATATATATATATATATATATATTGGTTTTGTTTTTCTGTTTATGTAATCTACAACAACACTTTTTTTTTTTTTTTTTTTTTTTAAAGCGAAAATTCATTGGAATATTATGCGACTAAACTAAAATAGCGTTAAAATAATAATAGTAATTGTATATAATATTAATAATAATAATAATAATAATGATAATAATAATAATAAAAATATATATATATACACACATATATATATTTTTATATACTTCATATAATGTAATATGTATCTATATATGTACTGTATACGGGGTCGTTTTGTAAAATATTGTTCGTTTTGACAATCGAATCAATACGATAATTGTAGTGTGTTCGCGGGGGGCTTGCGTTTTTGTTATTGTTATTATTATTTTTTTTTTTTTAATTTAGTCGTTTATATTTGTTTTTTTTCTCCTAAACATACATCTGTTCTATAAAATAGCGAATAATCGTAACGAGAGTCGGGAACGACGGAATGGTCTAGGCGAGTTTGTTGGGTGGGGGGGGGGGGGAAAAAAAAAAAAAAAAAAAAATGTATCCGTTCGAATGACTAGACGCGCGCGACAACCCCGTTTTATGAAAATGCGGAAAACGAAACGGCGGATCCAGAACGGGAAATAACCGGTGGGACGGGGGGACAATGGGCGACACGGCGTGCGGATAATCGGTACCGACCGGGTTGGACACGCGCGGCTTTCCCGCGGTATAAAACCCGTGTCAAAATGCCCGTCGCGTAATTATTAAACGCCGCCCGCGACAATATCCGTACAGGCGATATAATATCGTAATTGTATAGATGGCGCGGTACGACGCCCCGGGTTAAACCGCGGGTTCCACCCGTCGCCCGTTCCACAACCCCGGCCCGCAGGGCGCCGGTAGACTGTGCGGACGCCAGAGACAGCCGCCGTTCGATACACACGATAAGTGCCCCCGTCCGAGTCGATCACGAGTCAGCTCGTATACAATGTACAATATCGATCGGGCTAATAATTGTAATAATAATAATAATAAAAATAATGATAATAACAATAATAACAATGATAATAAAATCGACTAATACGTTCGTGGGAGGGGGGGGGAAATATACGTATGTATAATAATAATGTTACAACTTTAGGGGAATAAAAATAGAAGAGGTAGAGCGACTACGTTTATGTGTATAATATATGCTATCTATAATATAAAGTGCGGACGAACATCACGACGAACCCGTTTTTTTCTTTTTTTTTAAAAAAAAAAAAAACACGTTTATTATTTATTTTTTTTTACTTTAGCGATCGAAAAACACATCGTGTACACAACATGCTCGGTACACGTACCTAACTCTCGAGTTCAAAAACGATAAATACTTCCGTCGGCGAGACAGACGAATTTCGTCCCGCGCAATAATACCGGGTGTACGTGTAAACGCTTACGAGCGGCGACTACACGGTACACGCGGACGAGTAATACACAATACACTCGAGATACATAATACACCATTCATAATGCATAATATAATAATATTATTATTACGGGTACCGTCGTTTCCGTAACAAACCAGTCGAAAACGATTGTTGGATTATTATTTAGTTTTTTTTTTTTTTTTGAAAAAACAAAAAAAAACAATGCCAATCACAGTGGGGGTGCGCGTTTTAAAAAAAAAAATAAATAAATTAGGTACCTACGGTATCACACCTACATATATTATGTATCGTAATAATTTTTTTGAATTTTTTATTTTGTTTTTTTAAGGGGGTGCCACGAATCCCGTCCACGAGGAGGTTTTAAACGGGCGCCCCGTGGTATAATAAAAATAATAATAATAATAATAATTGTATGTATGTACGTATAATATTATCGAAACGACGATTTGTCGTTTCTTCCGTCAATTTAATATAATAATCGCAATTTTTTTAAAAAAAAAAAAAAAAAAAAAAAAAAAAAAACAAATCCAAACAAACGCGCAATAATAATAATAATAATAATAATAATAATAATGATAATAATAATGATAATGATAATAATAATAATAATAAATAATAATATTTCAACCGCGACTGCGTGTGTCGCGATTGCCGGGGGACCGTCGTCGGCGGCGGCGGTGCGATCGGACGTCGGTGCTGCAGGGGACGCGCCGTTTCGGTCAGAGCGTCGGCTTCTTCAGCAGCCGTTTTTGCCGGCAGTCGTACACGCGCCGGCAGTAGAAAATCAGGTCCGACGGCGCCCCGTCCGCCGGCAGCTGTCTGGCCCTCGGGTTGGACTCTCGCAGCGGCGGCACCACGGCCTTGCACAGCACCAAGTTCTCTTGCACCGACTTGACGTGTTTCCGGTGCCTGTAAAACGATTTCACAACATTATTGTTTACACAGATTTTTTTTTTTTTTTTTTATCGTTGCATTTGAGCCGGTGTAACGGCAACACGGTCGCGCGCCGGACCCCATCGAGTAGTACAAAACTTCTTAAACACTTTTTTTTATTATTATTATTATTTTTTTTTATTTTTTTGATCCTAGCGCCCTACCGCGATCTCGTTCGAGAATATTCGTCAGGTTCTTTCAATGCATCACGCGTCCCACATACTATCACGGATTGCTTAAATTTAATATTGTACTATTAGGCATCCAGTAAATCGTCCCGCGAACACTTCGGATGAAAATATAATATAATGAAACGGCATGAATTGATAGACGGTACGAAATCGGATATGATAAAGCCAGCACAAATAGGCCGCGGTAGGTTTTATAGGCCCGTAGCCTGTGGGCCCGGGCCGCAAGAAGGCTCTCATCAAACATTTTTTAGTAATTTTTAGTAAGGCCCTCGAAATACATCCTAAATCCGCGCACTAGTCTGTAGGAACAATTCGGAACTCCGCTACTGCGTTAATATAACCATGATAGTAATACGAGTATAGTGTCGAATAAACCGCGATTGTGACTCTATAGCTATGTCGGCAGAAGAAGGGGAAGAAGAATGCGGGAAAGAAAAAATGAATGACAATAAAAAAAAAAAACGCATTCAATATACTTCCGATCGAGTTTCGAAAAAATATGGCCGATCGTCAGAACTATTATTAAAGCCGCAATTTACAAAAGCAAAACACTAACTTTCGAAAATGCGTACCTTCATATTATTATCTATAACACGGTAATATACCTATAGGCCTTTTCGTCTGAAAGCATTATAAACTTTTAATGAAATGCGCGTTTGAAATCAAAGGCACGAGCAAATTAAACACACTGGAGTATGAACGAAAAACCCGATAAAAAGCCAGTCGCTAGAATACAAAAGTTATGTAATGCGTTTACAGGTACTAGTATTTTATGCGCTACTGTATACACACATGATGCGTTTCGGAGTCCGTCGAAATATTGTTATCAAACTATATTAGGTCCGGTTCCGATTGGATCTGACGCGACGTTTTCGATCCAGCGTGCGGGTTCTAGTTCGAAATAGCGCCTATTGATTTTTCCGATCCGATGTGCGGAAACCTTAAGGGGACGATGGCACTCGCGAGTAAAATAGAAACGAAATTCGTCGAAATGGCACCACGGTGCGTGAAAAAAAAAATAAAAAATAAAAAAATACAATAATATATTCGCTTCACATCACGTCCCATTAAAGTGGGTTGCATGAGATTATCCAATTTTCGTGACATTCTGTAACTGTTTTTATTTTTACTTATTAACGACCACCTTAGCGACCGGACTTTTCCACCGCGATTTACCGCCCGATACCCGTTGAACGTATTTACGGACGAATATACGTTTTAGGTCCATAATGCTCCAGCTACACCACGCTCGCGAAACTTTAGTTTTTAAATTACATTGAAAAACATTAGTTGTTCGTTTGTTTTGCATGGTTAATTTATAGCATATGTGCAAGACGAGTTACCTAATCCACTAATCAGAAGATGGGTGACTTTAGGTGGGATAGTATCAACACTTGTTCGGGTTACGTACATATTTTTGCATTGCGTCATTTAAATAGAAGTGTACACGCAGTTATTCGTTATTTGACGGTTTCACGAACTATTCGAATAATAATTGTCCGAACCAGCTCTTGTTACACCATCGGAATAAGTCGAATATATAACATATGTATTTTTTTTTTTTTATTAAGTCAAAACGGTAACTTAGCGGTCGACCAAACGCGAATTCGCAATACATTAGCTATTTCGTCACCGACTCGAAATTAATTAACTGGTAAAAAATATTCATACCGGTTGTTTTTTTTTTTTTTTACGGGAAAACCAGCGCTCTCGCCGAAAACCAATTACACGCCGTTTTTTGTCGTACAACAGTATTACTTCCGGAAACGCGGAAGTACCGTTTGCTCATAAAGTCTCGCGGTCGACAATCGTTAAAGTTATAGTGCGGGTAACACGCGCACGCACTTAGATCGCGATATAGTATTGGTGGGACATTTTTTCGGGGCGAGATTATCCACGGCAAAATGTCGACGCGACGTCAAAACGCACGCATTTTTGTACGTTTATATTGTCTATGCTTCGGCGCTGCTACACTAAAGTCTTCAGTGGCGCCGGAATAATTTAAAACTAACTTGGGCGAACAAGGCTATACTGTACTATACTATACTGGTCTTTTTCGTGTGTAATGCATTACACTACTCATAATACTATTTTTTAGAGTTATATTTTCTACAAATACTACTCACACTATGAGTATGTGCGCTATACGTGTTTCTCGCCACTAGTGCCACCCACCCACCACTAACAAATTTGGTACCCGAAATTCGGCGCCACTACGGAAGCCTTACAAAGAAAAGTCCGTAGGGGAGACAGAAGACCTCGGCGGTCGCTACCGCGACGGCCCCGAAACTTTGTAGGTCACTGCGATCAATCGATTTTCGAATAACTACGTCATTCGACGCATAGATTTTCGGGTAAATACAACCACGAGCCCAGTGGTATCGGAAATTCGACAGTACATTAGAACGGTAAAATTATTTAAACAAATTATTGTTTTTACGCAACTATTAATCCGAAATTGTAAAATTTCGAAAATAAAACGATTATATTTGTCGAGGCACGAAATAACGGGGCAATTCAATCATATTTTTTCACGATAATAAAATTTCAGTTAAACGACTACAAGGTTTTCAAACATCTCTGCAAATTTTACACAAATGAAATCCGCTCATCGAT